TACACTGAAAATTAAATCTGACTATTTACACTGAAAATTAAATCTGACCATTTACACTGACAGTTAAATCTGACCATTTACACTGACAATTAAATCTGACCATTTACACTGACAGTTAAATCTAACCATTTACACTGAAAATGAAATCTGACCATTTACACTGAAAATTAAATCTGACTATTTACACTGAAAATTAAATCTGACCATTTACACTGACAGTTAAATCTGACTATTTACACTGAGTTAAATCTGACTATTTACACTGACAATTAAATCTGACTATTTACACTGACAGTTAAATCTGACTGTTTACACGGAGTTAAATCTGACTATTTACACTGACAATTAAATCTGACTATTTACACTGAAAATTAAATCTGACCATTTACACTGAAAATGAAATCTGACCATTTACACTGAAAATGAAATCTGACCATTTACACTGACAGTTAAATCTGATTATTTAAACTGACAGTTAAATCTAACCATTTACACTGAAAATGAAATCTGACCATTTACACTGAAAATGAAATCTGACCATTTACACTGAAAATGAAATCTGACTCTTTACACTGACAATTAAATCTAACCATTTACACTGACAGTTAAATCTGACTATTTACACTGAGTTAAATCTGACCATTTACACTGAAAATTAAATCTGACTATTTACACTGAAAATGAAATCTGACCATTTACACTGAAAATGAAATCTGACCATTTACACTGAAAATGAAATCTGACCATTTACACTGAAAATAAAATCTGACCATTTACACTGAAAATAAAATCTGACCATTTACACTGAAAATGAAATCTGACCATTTACACTGACAGTTAAATCTAACCATTTACACTGAAAATGAAATCTGACCATTTACACTGAAAATGAAATCTGACCATTTACACTGAAAATAAAATCTGACCATTTACACTGAAAATGAAATCTGACCATTTACACTGACAGTTAAATCTGACTATTTACACTGAAAATTAAATCTGACTATTTACACTGAAAATGAAATATGACTCTTTACACTGACAATTAAATCTGACCATTTACACTGAAAATTAAATCTGACCATTTACACTGACAATTAAATCTTACCCTTTAAACTGACAGTTAAATCTGACCATTTACACTGACAGTTAAATCTGACCATTTACACTGACAGGTAAATCTGACTATTTACACTGACAGTTAACTCTGACCATTTACACTGACAGGTAAATCTGACCATTTACACTGAAAATTAAATCTGACTATTTACACTGACAGTTAAATCTGACCATTTACACTGACAGTTAAATCTGACTATTTACACTGAAAATGAAATCTGACCATTTACACTGAAAATGAAATCTGACCATTTACACTGAAAATAAAATCTGACCATTTACACTGAAAATGAAATCTGACCATTTACACTGACAGTTAAATCTGACTATTTACACTGAAAATTAAATCTGACTATTTACACTGAAAATGAAATATGACTCTTTACACTGACAATTAAATCTGACCATTTACACTGAAAATTAAATCTGACCATTTACACTGAAAATTAAATCTGACTCTTTACACTGACAGGTAAATCTGACCATTTACACTGACAATAAAATCTGACTATTTACACGGAGTTAAATCTGACTATTTACACTGAAAATTAAATCTGACCATTTACACTGAAAATTAAATCTGACCATTCACACAGACAGTTAAATCTGACTATTTACACTGACAGTTAAATCTGACTATTTACACTGAAAATTAAATCTGACTATTTACACTGAAAATTAAATCTGACCATTTACACTGAAAATTAAATCTGACTATTTATACAGACAATTAAATCTGACTATTTACACGGAGTTAAATCTGACTATTTATACTGACAATTAAATCTGACTGTTTACACTGACAGTTAAATCTTACTATTGTCAGTTAAATCTGACTATTTACACCATTAATGGTATCTGACAAATTAAAACTAAGACAATTTTTTGTTTCTGTGATGCCTGAGAAAATACCTCAGACACCAAGCCACTTTAGCCAGTAAAACTTTGAGAAGTTTAATTTCCATGCACTCAGTGCTTTATAAAACAGACAGACCTTGTCACTCATCATTTTCTGCTAACTTTTCCAAGTGGCCACTTACATGTACAGCAGCTGGGAACCACTGCTTACAAGTTATCCAGAAAACCTCTAACGTTCAGGCTGACATGTAGGCTATATGCCTATGTTAAGTACTCTGGGTATTATCATAAACTTTAAAATTCTGGTGAATATTTGCTACATTGGTGGTGCTACATTACAGGGCTCTCACACCCCATTTTGGGGACTGGGGCCCGGGGCCCTTAGAATTGGGAAAAATAGCGGTGTTTTCCTTAGAATTGGGAAAACTTTGGGTCTAAATTAGGAAAAAAGATACTGTTTTGCATTGGGAATGGGGCCGAATATCTGCTCCAAATCTGACAGATCAAGAGCCATGATATTGTACTGTAAAATCTTACCAATGCTTGTATCAGAGGTATAATTCCCTCATATTACCAAAATGACCCTGAGTGTTCACAGGGAGGTCAGCCCGGGTATCAAGTATTATCCAAAATTACCCTGAGTGTTCACAGAGAGGTCAACTCAGGAATCAAGTGTTCACAGGGAGGTCAACCCAGTAATGAAGTATTATCCAAAATGACCCTGAGTGTTCACAGAGAGGTCAACCCAGTAATCAAATATTATCCAAAATGACCCTGAGTGTTCACAGGGAGGTCAACCCAGTAACCAAGTATTATCCAAAATGACCCTGAGTGTTCACAGGGAGGTCAACCCAGTAATATCCAAACCTGAAAACTGACCTTTAAACTTGATTCAGTTGTAGTTACTTTAAACTAACACTCTCAAGAACTTTACAGAATTTTTTGTTTCTTTCTTCTTTTTTTTTCTTTTGTTTCCTCATATCAATCATTCTATTTTGACTGTTTAATGCATGGTGACTGTAAGAAAACTGCTCATTTTTTGTTTCTTTTTGCAGTTTAGTCCTTTTATTTTCATCATGATCAATTTTCAATTCTCGACATAAAATTTGTAGTACAGAATAAAAGATATATTTCAATTTTGAACTAATTAATTTCATAGTACTGAGGATAATGTCATTATCAACAATTTCCAAAATTTCAATGATCATTTTTCATCCTACCTATCTACAAGACACTTACTTTTCCTTTTGATTTTTTATCAGGAATTCTATCTTTTTGGATTTCTCACACAAAGTATGAGAAAAAAAAAGATGGCAAATGAAATGTGTGCATGTACTGAAAAGTCGTGAAAAAAAAAGTAAAGAAAAATGGCGAAGGACTCCTTGACCATTTTGGTTAAAGGTGGTTTCTCAAGCATGTTGGTGAACTGTTTCCTAACCATTTTGGGAAATGGACAATTGTACCCAAAACTATTTGGGTGAAATGTTCCCTACGCAATCATTTTGGTAAAAGATCTTTTTTACCATTTTGATGAAAGGTTCCCTGGTTGTTCTCCTTAAGGGTTTTCTATCCCTTTTGATAAATTGCTTCCTAATCATCTTGGTAAAGATTTCCTAACCATTATTTTAGTGAATGCAAAGTCTCCAAAAATAAAATCTTTCATTTGAAGCTTTATGTTTGCATCCATAATATTCATGGACTAAACAAAGGTGTATTTTTATACAAACTTAAAGAATTTTTTTCTAAAACAGAACATTTCAAATTCTCTGCAAGGTAGCAATTCTATGTTAATGTTAAACGAATAATGTGATTTTTAAAATGTTTCATTAAAACATCAAAGATGTTTTTCGTGGCACACATTTTTAAAACTAAGCAATTTGTGATATATATAACAAACAAAACAGGTGAAAAATAGTTTCTTTTTAAGTACATTTCAGTTCTAAATGTATTGATAAAATTGTAAATGTCCCTGAATCAGTGGAAATTATGTAAATATATTCAAATAATCAAACACTATTCTATGTAATTTAGGATGTAAAGTTATGTAATACGTTTACACATATATCCATACAAAAAAAATCAAAACAATATTGAGACTAAAATATATGGACGATGATATATATATATGACTATTAATTATCATATCATTAATTAATTATACTTTATCTAAAATTTACTATCTGTTGACTCTAACATTACATTTTACTAGAGTTTAACTTGATGTTTAAAAATAGACCAAATTATGCATGTTATAGTGTTATGTTACCAACATTTGACGTAATAACGGTACAGTATAAAAACAGTTCTATAGTAAATAATGGCGAATATCGCGATCTAGAGAGGAACACAATCTTAACGTAATATGCTCGTGTTGTTCAACACAAAATGGCAGTCATTGTATACAATCAAAAATCCAATATCCTCTCAGAGCGAAACAATCCTTTATCAGCTGTCAAAATCGATATTGACACATTCGACCTGTCATCGCTTGTTTTATTTCATGTTTTCACGATTATTTATTCAATTTATCATAAAACAATTTTCATTCGCGATCTACGTGTTTGTATTTCAAAAAAAATGTCTGTTTCAACCTTAAAAGTGTAAATGATCTCACCTCCATTTCAAGCCATTCTCTGTTCCCTGACAAAGGATCTCTGTTGTGTATTTACTCGACAGTTCTTGTCCAGTCATGGTTGAAATGTAAATAGAGACCACATGGGACATTAATTATCGCCGCATTGCGCTTCCGGTCTGTAAAACCATGCGCCGTCCGGTGTATTCTCTAAAAATATTACATATTTCTTGTGAATTATTTTGTGTAAACTTTCATAATATTGTATTCAATGAAGCAGACATTGTCAGTTTTTCATATGAATTTTACCAAAACCTGCTAAAGTAATCGAAAAATAACTTGTTACATTTTGAACTATTTTATGATTTATATCACTGCGCGAGCAGGAGAACGGACACCCCGCCATTGCTGATTAACAGGTACCCCCCCTCTAAGGGGCTATTGGTGAATAATGTCAACATTACCACATGGCCACATGTATTTTGGTTTATGTTGTTTTCAAGTTCTAAGTCAACTGGTTGTATTGAAGTGTGCAACTTATCGGAAGTTTCTCGATGTTCAAGTTATGCATTGAGAGCCGCAACATGCGTTTCTTTGAGTGTTGAAGGCTATTAATATATTTGCCGATACACACCGCTTTGCTATCGCGCTCTTGGTCACAAAACAAGGTGTTTGTCGATCTGCTATTCGTGAAAGAAAGAAGTGCTGTAGTCTCGGCTAATGGCGAAGGAAACTAAGGCTTATATAATCAGTATATGGTCTCAAAAAGTTTTTCACAATATTAATCATAAAGACCAAGTCGGGGTGTCCTTGCTCTAACATCATGTTCTAAAGGTTACTGATATGGGATATGCCGTTTTTGTTTTGAGATTGATCAGAAAAAAACGGCCAAAGATTAAGTCAATTTCTTGTATGAATTTTCACATTTCATATAATTAATAAATGTAGACGAGAAAAATATCTTTTAAAGAACAAATAAAGATCACACAATGTTGGGTGCCAACATCCCTCTGGGATCTCTCCTAATATATTCTACTCTTTCTTATACCATGCATAATCATACACTATATCGGTCACTGATAGCCTTAGCGCTCAAAATGCAATCTAGCCCCTCAATTTCCTATTACCTCAGATGATGAAAGGCACAATGGCATGTAATGATGGGGAGAAGTCGGGGCCCATACAAGTTCCCTCCCCTAGAAACATCAATACATGCCCCTGTGGTCGCAGACACCAAATCAATAACTAGATATGGTGATACTTAAAAATATTAAATTACTTGCTGTACCAATCATTCTGATTTTTAGATTAAAAAGATCTAGGTGTAATTACAAATCTTTGTAAATAATAAGTGGACTGCAGTATAGATTAATTCTTGGATTGTTAATTACATTACTGAATCGGGACTTTAACATTAGGATCTAACAACATCCTTAATATTTACACAAAGTATTTGTCATTTAAGGTTGTTATACTTCTGTAGTTCAACATTTTCAGTTGAGCAGTGAAGATGATGGACCTTGGACCTGGGTCAGGCAACACTATGTTGTCTGGGTTACGACTAAACTTTGAAGGATTTGATGATGATGTCTCAAAGGAGAGCCACGACCTTACAGTGGATGCGTCGTAAGTGTACAAGTTGTAGTAACTATTGTGTAGATGAAAGGCACATGCTCTTCATTGCCTGATATGTGGGTGAACAGTATGTATACAGGGCTCTTGATCTGCCAGATTTGGGGCTGATATTCAGCCCCATTCCCAATGCAAAATAGTATCTTTTTTTCCCAATTTAGACTCGAAGTTTTCCCAATTCTAAGAAAAACACCATTATTTTTCTCAATTCTAAGGGCCCCAGGCCCCAGTCCCAAAATGGGGTGTGAGAGCCCTGATATACCTACCAGTTATTGCTTTGTTAGTGTATTAACAGTACCAGTTATTGTCTTGTAGGAACATTGATCATATTTCTGTATCATTAGGTAGTTATTGAAGATGTTCAATAATTCACCAATGACGTACTTTGTGACTGTGAACTGATTCTTTTATTTCAAGGTTGACTTTTATTTTCCAGTTTCTCCAATCCTGATAGTTCATTCATCACTTCACATAGTCAAGGACTTGGTGATTTAGCTCAAGGTATGGTATACACTCAGTAACACTGTACTTTATATCATCACAGTCTAAAATGGAAAAATAATGTTATATGCGGAGAAACTGCAACTAAAATGTCAGGTATTGAGACAGTCTAAAATGGAGGAATATTGTTATATATGGAGAAACTGCATCTAAAATGCCAGGTATTGAGACCGTCTAAAATGGAGGAATATTGTTATATATGGAGAAACTGCATCTAAAATGCCAGGTATTGAGACCGTCTAAAATGGAGGAATATTGTTATATATGGAGAAACTGCATCTAAAATGTCAGATATTGAGAGGGTCTGAAATTGAGGAATATTGTCAGATATAAAGAGACTGTCTAAAATGGAGGAATATTGTCGGATATAGAGAGACCGTCTAAAATGGAGGAATATTGTCAAATATAGAGAGACAGTCTAAAATGGAGGAATATTGTCAGATATAGAGAGAAAGTCGAAAATAGAGGAATATTGTCAGATATAAAGAGACTGTCTAAAATAGAGGAATATTGTCAGATATAAAGAGACTGTCTAAAATGGAGGAATATTGTCGGATATAGAGAGACCGTCTAAAATGGAGGAATATTGTCAAATATAGAGAGACAGTCTAAAATGGAGGAATATTGTCAGATATAGAGAGAAAGTCGAAAATAGAGGAATATTGTCAGATATAAAGAGACTGTCTAAAATAGAGGAATATTGTCATATAAAGAGACCGTCTTAAATGGAGGAATATTGTCAGATAAAGAGAGACCGTCTAAAATGGAAAAATAATGTTATATACGGAGAAACTGCATCTAAAATGGAGGAATATTGTCGGATATAGAGAGACTGTCTAAAATGGAGGAATATTGTCAGATATAGAGAGACAGTCTAAAATGGAGGAATATTGTCAGATATAGAGAGACTGTCTAAAATGGAGGAATATTGTCAGATATAGAGAGACAGTCAAAAATAGAGGAAGATTGTCAGATATAGAGAGACAGTCAAAAATAGAGGAATATTGTCAGATAAAGAGAGAATGTCTAAAATGGAGGAATATTGTCAGATATAGAGAAACAATCTTAAATAGAGGAATATTGTCAGATATAGAGAGACCATTTAAAATGGAAAAATAATGTTATATACGGAGAAACTGCATCTAAAATGGAGGAATATTGTCAGATATAGAGAGACTGTCTAAAATGGAGGAATATTGTCAGATATAGAGAGACAGTCTAAAATGGAGGAATATTGTCAGATATAGAGAGACCGTCTAAAATGGAGGAATATTGTCAGATATAGAGAGACCATCTAAAATGGAGGAATATTGTCAGATATAGAGAGACCATCTAAAATGGAGGAATATTGTCAGATATAGAGAGACCATCTAAAATGGAGGAATATTGTCAGATATAGAGAGACAGTCTAAAATGGAGGAATATTGTCTGATATAGAGAGACCGTCTAAAATGGAGGAATATTGTCAGATATAGAGAGACAGTCTAAAATGGAGGAATATTGTGAGGTTGGCTATTTTTCCTATAGCTTCTTTTGTTTCTGTGTAAAATTCCGATGTTTGCTTGTTTTTCAGTCACACAAATAACAAGTACAGAAGCTGATGGAGCTGCTCCTCTCGAGGTGGGTATATGGTTATATATATTCTTGTATGGTTAACTGTATATTGTTGTCTGTAGCCAGGACAAGGACCTGTAGGGTTTACTGGTTCTGAGATCTGATCCCATTAAAGAGTGGGGCCCCATTAATTCACAGTTAATCTTGTTCCCCTTGTATCCAGCTGGAAATACTAAAATCCAGATCTCCCTAACATTAATTTGCCACTCTTATCTGGTTGCCTCAGTATCTGTCTACAGTCGGTAAATTTGGGAACAGATCACCATTTTGCAGTATAAAAAGTCCCTCAAATCCAGCTGCTAATTTTCATCGTGCCTCTGGCTGGATATGCTGGCTATCTGACAACAGGTTGGATGCAATGAAAGCATGTTTTTTGTTTACTATTAATCTGTTTATCAATTTACTGGTGCAGTTGTGTCATTTTGACTTGTCGCTGGTCAAGTAATTAAGTTCTCTGAATACCACTACATTTGTCTTGATCACGTGTTTGGCTGTTGGTAACAAATGAATGGACGAGGACCCATAGTATACAAATAATGCATGATTCACCTGTAGTGAATTGTGTTTATTTATAAGGAGCTGTTTTAACCATCGGTCATCATTATTATTTTTTGTTGGTTTGTTTCTCTTTGAAAACTGTTCAGATTACAGTGAGTAAATGGGAAGGCCCTGGTCATTTTCTCTGCCTTCCAAGTTAATGTTTAACTAGTGGTAATTTCACTGACCAGATTTAGCTTGGGACAATATTGTTCACGGCAGGATAAATATTCTAGCATCAGCAATGTTTCCTAACATTCACTCATAATTGCTTACAAGAAGTATGACGTTTTACCCCAACTGCTACGTGAGAAAATGCAATGTTAAAGTATAATAGAATCAATTGGAGTAATACTATTTGATGTATGCTGTCTTGTTTCTGACAAGGGACATAACTCCTACAGATCATGGTCTGTTTCAGTAATCCATCTGCTTCGCTATCCAGCCACTTTTGCTTGAAAGGTGACATGATTAATGTGGCTCAGCTGTACACATATGTGTAGTATTGATACCACTATATAATACATGTTAGTTCTGTTAAAGGGACAGGGAAAGCAGGGCTTAAATGTAGAAGAATGGGGAGAATTTTTAAGGATATGTGACAACAACTCTTGTTGTCTAGTTTCTAGGTAACACAAAATGGAAGAGCTACCATCAGACACATTGCTAGTGAAACTAATATTGGGGATTATTATGCTTAACAGGGACAAGAAATGAGGGACATATGATATTTTGGTGTTTTTACCAATTTTTTTAAGAGCAAATGTAGACAATGATTGTTTCTTTAGGGTGTGAAGAAGAAAGGAGGATGGCCAAAAGGGAAGAAGAGGAAGCGAGTGAGGGATACAAATGCACCCAAGCCACCTCTGACAGGATATGTCCGGTTCCTGAATGAGAGGCGTGAGACATTAAGAAAGGAGAACCCTAGTACGGCTTTTACTGACCTGTTAAGACTACTGGGCGCGGAATGGTCTAAACTTCCTCAACACGATAAACAAGTAAGATCTCATATATCTCTAAAAACATCGTAGTATATCATGATTTGTCTAATACAAATACAGGGGAGATAATTCAGGAATCAGTCTGTAATATCATGTCTCTATAACCACTTAACACTGTTTCAGAGGTACCTAGACGAGGCAGAAAAGGGTAGTAAAATCCTAGTATATCATGATTGGTCTAATACAAATACAGGGGAGATAATTCAGGAATCAGTCTGTAATATCATGTCTCTATAACCACTTAACACTGTTTCAGAGGTACCTAGATGAGGCAGAAAAGGATAGTAAAATCCTAGTATATCATGATTGGTCTAATACAAATACAGGGGAGATAATTCGGGCATCAGTCTGTAATATCATGTCTCTATAACCACTTAACACTGTTTCAGAGGTACCTAGATGAGGCAGAAAAGGATAAAGAGCGTTACATGAAAGAGATGGAGAGCTACCAAAAAACGGAGGCATACAAATTATTCCGTGAGAAGAAGATGAAAGGTTTGCATTAATGGTCCACGACATTAGTGATATCAGATGGATTTTGCTGATTTATGGGACTCAGATTTTGAGTCCTTGACACGTTAACTTCCTGTCGAGACCCACATATGGTTGTTTTTTCAGAATTTGTAAGAAAAATTCATGTGATTAATCAGTTACTGTCTATGTCTTCCTGGCTTTTGTCACAAAACCTCAATCAGATTGCTGATAGTGTAAATCACTTGATCTCGCAAGGAACTATGTTTTAAGTGTATATAAATGTATATAAAGTTAGAACGCTTCATCCGTGTATATGGACAGGATACATCATCTGTAATTATCAATGATCATTTTTTTTTTCCTTGACTTTAATTTTTATTTTTTTTACTTCAGAATCATCTGGGTTCAACAGTTCTACATTAGATGTAAGTAAAACATGTTTGTAAATTGTTCAGTAACTCTGTTTATTTAGTGGTAACTCAAGATTCAGTCACTGTTCATTGAGTGGTAAATCACCCAGTCACTGTTCATTAAGTGGTAAATCATTCAGTCACTGTTCATTTAGTGGTAAATCACTCAGTCACTCTGTTCATTTAGTGGTAAATCACTCAGTCATTGTTCATTTAGTGGTAAATCATTCAGTCACTCTGTTCAATTAGTGGTAAATCACTCAGTCATTGGTCATTTAGTGGTAAATCACTCTGTCATTGGTCATTTAGTGGTAAATCACTCTGTCATTGTTCATTTAGTGGTAAATCATTCAGTCACTCTGTTCATTTAGTGGTAAATCATTCAGTCACTCTGTTCATTTAGTGGTAAATCATTCAGTCACTCTGTTCATTTAGTGGTAAATCATTCAGTCACTGTTCATTTAGTGGTAAATCACTCAGTCACTCTGTTCATTTAGTGGTAAATCACTCAGTCACTGTTTATTTAGTGGTAAATCAGTGTTCATTTAGTGGTAAATCATTCAGTCACTCTGTTCATTTAGTGGTAAATCATTCAGTCACTCTGTTCATTAAGTGGTAAATCATTCAGTCACTCTGTTCATTTAGTGGTAAATTACTCAGTCACTCTGTTCATTTAGTGGTAAATCATTCAGTCACTCTGTTTATTTAGTGGTAAATCATTCAGTCACTGTTTATTTAGTGGTAAATTACTCAGTCATTGTTCATTTAGTGGTAAATCATTCAGTCACTCTGTTCATTAAGTGGTAAATCATTCAGTCACTCTGTTCATTTAGTGGTAAATCACTCAGTCACTCTGTTCATTAAGTGGTAAATCATTCAGTCACTCTGTTCATTTAGTGGTAAATCATTCAGTCACTCTGTTTATTTAGTGGTAAATCATTCAGTCACTCTGTTTATTTAGTGGTAAATCATTCAGTTACTCTGTTCATTTAGTGGTAAATCATTCAGTCACTCTGTTTATTTAGTGGTAAATCATTCAGTTACTCTGTTTATTTAGTGGTAAATCATTCAGTCACTGTTCATTAAGTGGTAAATCACTCAGTCACTCTGTTCATTTAGTGGTAAATCATTCAGTCACTGTTTATTTAGTGGTAAATCATTCAGTCACTCTGTTTATTTAGTGGTAAATCATTCAGTTACTCTGTTTATTTAGTGGTAAATCACTCTGTCATTGTTCATTTAGTGGTAAATCATTCAGTCACTCTGTTCATTTAGTGGTAAATCACTCAGTCACTGTTTATTTAGTGGTAAATCACTCAGTCACTGTTCATTTAGTGGTAAATCATTCAGTCACTCTGTTCATTTAGTGGTAAATCATTCAGTTACTCTGTTTATTTAGTGGTAAATCATTCAGTCATTGTTCATTTAGTGGTAAATCACTCAGTCACTGTTTATTTAGTGGTAAATCATTCAGTCATTGTTCATTTAGTGGTAAATCATTCAGTTACTCTGTTCATTTAGTGGTAAATCACTCAGTCATTGTTCATTTAGTGGTAAATCATTCAGTTACTCTGTTCATTTAGTGGTAAATCACTCTGTCATTGTTCATTTAGTGGTAAATCATTCAGTCACTCTGTTCATTTAGTGGTAAATCTCTGTTCATTTTGTGGTAAATCACTCAGTCACTGTTTATTTAGTGGTAAATCATTCAGTCATTGTTCATTTAGTGGTAAATCATTCAGTTACTCTGTTCATTTAGTGGTAAATCACTCAGTCACTCTGTTCATTTAGTGGTAAATCATTGCTTGGACATAACTAAGTCCATTTATGTAATGTGAGCTTGCTATTTCAATGTTTATTCTGCGGGATGAATATGCTGATTTTATTGCTGCAGACTCTACATGGCGACGAGGAAAACACAGGCACTTTTGATATTCCTGTCTTCACAGAGGAGTTCCTTGACCATAACAAAGGTATTTCATTGGTTACATGATCTAGTCTGCTATATGTATCAGTTTGATTACATGGATATGGCCACTTGTGAATTCAGATCAAAACCCATCAACAATGTTTTGGTTAAACAAGTAAATACCCATGTTTTTTTTCAGATTTTAATATTCCTGACATTTTAACACTTTGTAAACATTAATTTATCATCCCAAGATACAGCACTGTTTTATCTCTAATCACTTTAACTTAATATTACATTTACAATTATTTCTGTGATCTTGAACAAGCCAGGGCTCTCGATCTGCCAGATTTGGGGCCGAATATTCCCTATGCTAAATAGTATCTTTTTTCCCAATTTAGACCCCAAGTTTTCCCAATTCTAAGGAAAACACCGCTATTTTTCCCAATTCTAAGGGCCCCGGGCCCCAGTCCCAAAATGGGGTGTGAGAGCCCTGCAAGCATTTATTGTTCCATCCTGCAGTTCTCTTATTCGCTAATAAATTAATATAGAAATACCTTAGTAGAAAAATCAATAGTAAGGTTAAGACTTAATTAGTTTTAACCTTGTGAAACTATAAATTGCTTAAAATTCCTTTATTACTTGTTCCTCCCTGTACAAAAATATTTGGATTGAGTGGGAGGTGAGATGTGTAGTGTGATTATAGTGTTAATGATTTCCACACAGCAAGGGAATCAGAGCTCAGACAGTTGAGGAAACAGACAACTGAATTAGAGGAGCAGAATGCCATTCTCAGCAAACATATAGAAAATATGAAACAGGCTATAGAAAAGCTGGAAGTGGAGTCTGTGCAGCAGCGTAGCTCTAACATGGCACTACAGGGTCATCTGGATGGATTGAGAGCCTCTCTAACCTCACACTTCTCCAGTACTCCTCTCCCAGGTAGGTACAGTGTTAGACATGGGGACTGAGAGACTGTCTCACACTTCACCAGTACTCCTCTCCCAGGTAGGTGCAGTGTTAGACATGGGGACTGAGAGACTGTCTCACACTTCTCCAGTACTCCTCTCCCAGGTAGGTGCAGTGTTAGACGTGGGGACTGAGAGACTGTCTCACACTTCTACAGTACTCCTCTCCCAGGTAGGTGCAGTGTTAGACGTGGGGACTGAGAGACTGTCTCACACTTCTCCAGTACTCCTACCCCAGGTAAGTACAGTGTTAGACATGGGGACTGAGAGACTGTCTCACACTTCTCCAGTACTCCTCTCCCAGGCAGGTGCAGTGTTAGACGTGGGGACTGAGAGACTGTCTCACACTTCACCAGTACTCCTCTCCCAGGTAGGTACAGTGTTAGACGTGGGGACTGAGAGACTGTCTCACACTTCTCCAGTACTCCTCTCCCAGGTAGGTACAGTGTTAGACATGGGGACTGAGAGACTGTCTCACACTTCACCAGTACTCCTCTCCCAGGTAGGTGCAGTGTTAGACGTGGGGACTGAGAGACTGTCTCACACTTCTCCAGTACTCCTCTCCCAGGTAGGTACAGTGTTAGACGTGGGGACTGAGAGACTGTCTCACACTTCTCCAGTACTCCTCTCCCAGGTAGGTACAGTGTTAGACATGGGGACTGAGAGACTGTCTCACACTTCACCAGTACTCCTCTCCCAGGTAGGTGCAGTGTTAGACGTGGGGACTGAGAGACTGTCTCACACTTCTCCAGTACTCCTCTCCCAGGTAGGTGCAGTGTTAGACGTGGGGACTGAGAGACTGTCTCACACTTCTTCAGTACTCCTCTCCCAGGTAGGTACAGTGTTAGACATGGGGACTGGGAGTCTGTCACCTCACATTTCTCCAGTACTCCTCTCCCAGGTAAGTACAGTGTTAGACATGGGGACTGAGAGACTGTCTCACACTTCTCCAGTACTCCTCTCCCAGGTAAGTACAGTGTTAGACATGGGGACTGAGAGACTGTCTCACACTTCTCCAGTACTCCTCTCCCAGGTAAGTACAGTGTTATATAACAACTCCTCTCCCACCATGCAGTGTTACTACAGGTACACTTCTCACTCCTCTCCCAGGATAGGTGCAGTGTTATATAACAATCTCTCATTACAAGTGTACATCTCACCATAGATATCATTGTTATATAACAATCTACCATTACTACAGGTACATCTCACCATAGATATCATTGTTATATAACAATCTACCATTACTACAGGTACATCTCACCATAGATATCATTGTTATATAACAATCTACCATTACTACAGGTACATCTCGCCATAGATATCATTGTTATATAACAATCTACCATTACTACAGGTACATCTCAATATAGATATCATTGTTATATAACAATCTACCATTATTACAGGTACTGGTGAACTTCCCACTATAGATACCATTGATGCGTACATGGCTAAACTACACAGCCTCATTCTGGAGTCTCCTCAGGATCACGAATCACTCATTGCAACTGTACGTGATATACTAGGACGACTTAATGTTGAAGGGTAGGTAACTCTGTTTCACTTCTTAAAATTCTTCCTATTTTTTGTCTACATCATAATTTGATCAACTGTATTGTAATGAATAATTACTGGGTCGGTGTTATCCTACGTGTTAACGTGAGAATCATCCTCTAGTGATGCGGTGATCTCCATGTTTATCAGGCAGAGAGAGTGGAATTCTGGACAAGCTAAATGTTAGAAGTACAATGTACATTCAATTTATTTTGTCTGTGCTAAGCCTTGTACATCAACACTACACTGGTTTCAGTCACCAATGTTTCTGATCATTTATAGCTTATAAAAAGCCTTCTCACATATTCCCAGCACCAACTGACTAGTGAACCCAGAGTCGAAGTCTACAAGGATACCCAGTAACAGTGGTACCCATCATACATATCATGAGTTTATTTATGTCTGTGGGATAAAAGAACAGGAAATGTCTATATTTGACTACTAAATGTCTAGAGACCAGACATTTCCTTAATCTTTTGGATATTAATTCACATCACTTTAAAGCATGATTCGTTAAAATGTAACCATGGTAAATACTAGCTGCATTATTTCTCGGCTAAAGAGAACTTCTCTTTAGCTTGATCAGTTGAGCATGAGACTAATGAGCCAGTGGTCCAGAATTCAAATCTGAGGCACTGAAATGGCCTCTGTCACATAATGTTGTTATGAATTACAATAATAACAAAGTGATTTTGTAGGCCCCTAGGGATTCATTATAGCCAAGTGTTACTGTATTACAATATACTGCTTTCAATGGAATAATTTTCATTTGCAATTTTTTAATTTCAGAGATAAATTATGAAGACACAAAGTTGGATTTCACCAGTGTTGTCATTTTAATGACACAGAAGTACACACAAGGACATCACCAGTGTTGGTATAATTATATATACAGACAAGGACATCACCAGTGTTGGTATAATTATATATACAGACAAGGACATCACCAGTGTTGGTATAATTATATATACAGACAAGGACATCACCAGTGTTGTCATTTTAATGACACAGAAGTACACACAAGGACATCACCAGTGTTGTTATAATGATATAGTACACACAATGACATCACCAGTGTTGTTATAATGATATATACAGACAAGGACATCACCAGTGTTGTTATAATGATATCTACAGACAAGGACATCACCAGTGTTGTTATAATGATATATTACACACAAGGACATCACCAGTGTTGTTATAATGATATATACAGACAAGGACATCACCAGTGTTGTTATAATGATATCTACAGACAAGGACATCACCAGTGTTGTTATAATGATATATATACACACAAGGACCTCACCAGTGTTCTTATAATGATATAGTACAGACAAGGACATCACCAGTGTTGTTATAATGATATAGTTCAGACAATGACATCACCAGTGTTGTTATAATGATATAGTTCAGACAATGACATCACCAGTGTTGTTATAATGATATAGTACAGACAATGACATCACCAGTGTTGTTATAATGATATAGTTCAGACAAGGACATCACCAGTGTTGTTATAATGATATAGTTCAGACAATGACATCACCAGTGTTGTTATAATGATATAGTTCAGACAAGGACATCACCAGTGTTGTTATAATGATATAGAAGTACACACAATGACATCACCAGTGTTGGTATAATTATATATACAGACAAGGACATCACCAGTGTTGTCATTTTAATGACACAGAAGTACACACAAGGACATCACCAGTGTTGTCATTTTAATGACACAGAAGTACACACAAGGACATCACCAGTGTTGTCATTTTAATGACACAGAAGTACACACAAGGACATCACCAGTGTTGTCATTTTAATGACACAGAAGTACACACAAGGACATCACCAGTGTTGGTATAATTATATATACAGACAAGGACATCACCAGTGTTGTTATAATGATATAGTACAGACAATGACATCACCAGTGTTGTTATAATGATATAGTACAGACAAGGACATCACCAGTGTTGTTATAATGATATAGTACAGACAAGGACATCACCAGTGTTGTTATAATGATATATACAGACAAGGACCTCACCAGTGTTGTTATAATGATATAGTACAGACAAGGACATCACCAGTGTTGTTATAATGATATAGTACAGACAAGGACATCACCAGTGTTGTTATAATGATATAGTACAGACAAGGACATCACCAGTGTTGTTATAATGATATATACAGACAAGGACATCACCAATAACTGAACTGTAACCTCTACTGACCAGTAACATGCAACTGCCAACATTGCCTTGGAGGCCTCATGACATCAGGCAGCTTCCCATTTGCAATTAGACAACAGTTCTGAAATGTGTTTGAGGATATTAAGTTACTAAATGTAACTTTGATGTCAGTTGTACTGGGTAGATGTCAGTTGTACTGGGTATTATATATGTCAGTTGTACCAGGTATTATAGATGTCAGTTGTACTGGTATTATAGATGTCAGTTGTACCAGGTATTATAGATGTCAGTTGTACTGGGTATTATAGATGTCAGTTGTACTGGGTATTATAGATGTCAGTTGTACTGGGTATTATAGATGTCAGTTGTACTGGGTATTATAGATGTCAGTTGTACTGGGTATTATATATGTCAGTTGTACCAGGTATTATAGATGTCAGTTGTACCGGGTATTATAGATGTCAGTTGTACCGGGTATTATAGATGTCAGTTGTACCGGGTATTATGGATGTCAGTTGTACCGGGTATTATAGATGTCAGTTGTACCAGGTATTATAGATGTCAGTTGTACTGGGTATTATAGATGTCAGTTGTACCAGGTATTATAGATGTCAGTTGTACCAGGTATTATAGATGTCAGTTGTACAAGGTATTATAGATGTCAGTTGTACCAGGTATTATAGATGTCAGTTGTACTGGGTATTATAGATGTCAGTTGTACTGGGTATTATAGATGTCAGTTGTACTGGGTATTATAGATGTCAGTTGTACTGGGTATTATAGATGTCAGTTGTACTGGGTATTATGGATGTCAGTTGTACTGGGTATTATGGATGTCAGTTGTACCGGGTATTATAGATGTGAGTTGTACCAGGTAATATAGATGTCAGTTGTACCAGGTATTATAGATGTCAGTTGTACTGGGTATTATAGATGTCAATTGTACCAGGTATTATAGATGTCAGTTGTACTGGGTATTATAGATGTCAATTGTACCAGGTATTATAGATGTCAGTTGTACCAGGTATTATAGATGTCAGTTGTACTGGGTATTATAGATGTCAGTTCTACTGGGTATTATAGATGTCAGTTGTACCAGGTATTATAGATGTCAGTTGTAGTTTAATTCTCCTACTTGTCATCATCACTGCTTATTTGCATTTTAAGTTTGAAGTTGAAGCTAACGCAATACTATGTATGTATGGCCACATTTCTGTGACAGTGGCAGTCATTGTCTATGATTACATCTCTGTGACAGTGGCAATCATTGCCAGTGGTTAAGCTTTCATGACGTTTTTTGTTGCTATGGTTACACATCTATGACTGTGGCAATTATTACTGTGTGACAGTGTCAGACATCTTTGCTATGTTTAAACCTGTGTGACAGTGTCAGACATCTTTGCTATGTTCAAACCTGTGTGACAGTGCCGGACATCTTTGTTATGTTTAAACATGTGTTACAGTGTCAGACATCTTTGCTATGTTTAAACCTGTGTTACAGTCATTGTCGCTATGGTTTTACTTCTGAGAAAGTTATTGCCATGTGGTGGCAGATATTGCTACAGTTTAACCACTTTGAAGTGAAGAGTTGCTATGGAAACACCTATACAACACTTGTTGCTCTGGGTACACCTGTATGATAGTTTGTGCTATGTTAACACCTCTGTTACAACTGTTGCTAAGGTAACACCTATGATGTTGTTGCTATGGTAATACTTATATGACAGGCATTGCAATGGTAATACCTCTGTGACAGTTGTTGCTATGGTAACACCTTTATGACAATGATAGTGTATATGTTGTCACTTTCTCTGATCCCATTGACACCAGATGAGTCCACATTCTAGTGACATATTATGTAGATTTATTAGCTCACTATCATCAGATGGTTAGCTATTCAAATCACCCTATTTCCATGGTCCATCATCTATTTGTCCCTAAACAATTTTTGTTATCATATTCCTTAAGAAGTTCTGAAGTTCTGTAAATACATTTACACCTGTACAGTTACATCTTGCAGTCAGGCTTGTGTAAATGTATTTACACCTATACAGTTACACCTTGCAGTCAGGCTTGTGTAAATGTATTTACACCTGTACAGTTAGACTGTGCAGCCAGGCTTGTTAAAACGTATTTACACCTGTACAGTTACACTGTAGAGCCAGGCTTGTTTAAATGTATTTACACCTGTACAGTTACACCTTGCAATCAGGCTTGTGTTAATGTATTTACACCTGTACAGTACACTGTGCAGCCGGGCTAGTGTAAAAGTATTTACACCTGTACAGTAACACTCTAGAGCCAGACTTGTGTAAATGTATTTACACCTGTACAGTTACACTGTGCAGCCGGGCTTGTGTAAATGTATTTACACCTGTACCGTTACACTCTAGAGCCGGGCTTGTGTAAATGTATTTACACCTGTACCGTTACACTGTAGAGCCAGGCTTGTGTAAATGTATTTACACCTGTACCGTTACACTGTAGAGCCAGGCTTGTGTAAATGTATTTACACCTGTACCGTTACACTGTAGAGCCAGGCTTGTGCAAATGTATTTACACCTGTACAGTTACACTGTAGAGCCAGGCTTGTGCAAATGTATTTACACCTGTACCGTTACACTCTAGAGCCAGGCTTGTGTGAATGTATTTACACCTGTACAGTTACACTCTAGAGCCAGACTTACACATTTCTATTTATTTTCGTTTTGGAATAAATCAGGAAAAACATGGGAAGGTCTTTGTTGTTTTGTTTATAAAAGCCAGTCATAGTGAACATGTTATGTCAAGAGGAAACACCCATAATGGGTGTTCTTTAGCAAGTCAAACATTTCAGATCTGAAGTGTAAAAATCAAGATCATTGTTACTATAAATAGTATATCGTGTAAAATCAATTTGTAAAAATTAATGTCATTTTCACTCAAAACAGTTAATCTGTCTGATCGGTTCGTAAAAATCAAGGCCTTGTTACTATAAATAGCTAATCATGTCAGATCTGAAGGGAAAATCAAGGCTACTGTTACTGTAAATAGTTAATTGTGTCAGATATGAAACGGAAAATTAAGGCTTTGTTACTTTAAATAGCTAATATGTCAGATCTGAAGGGGAAATCAATTCTGTTACTATAAATAGTTAATTGTGTCAGATCTGAAGGGAAAATCAAGGCTACTGTTACTATAAATAGTTTATTGTGTCAGATATGAAGGGTAAAACCAAGGTCACTGTTAATATAAATTTTGAATCGATATACACTGTAATTGGGCATCCCGTTGGCTCATTCAATTCCACTCAATATTCAAACATGCATCTGAACCTAAATATAAATACCTATATCTATAGTTGCCTTTCAGAAGATCATATATTAAGGTCATTGTTACTATAAATAGAAAATAAAGGTTTAACAATATTCCGGAGTGCCTTTGACCGACATATATCTTTATACACTTAGCTTCCTTATGAATATCAAATTAGCTCTACTGGGTCGATTAAATTCAGCACTATCTTACAATAAAAAGTGCCCTTTAGAATCACGAGGTTAAAATGTGTCACGCTATCAAAGCAGTGGTCTGTACGGCCTTCGGTTAGTTAGGAGATGCTTTGATACAAAGGGATATTTTAGCGACCAACTAGATTGTCTTCTTTCTCAGATCTGACTGACTTTCTTGAATACAATTTTTCTCAAAATGGAAAGTACAAATAGTACAAATGATTGTACCATAACCTCTTCATAAACAATCACCTATTATCAGACATAACTTTTGTTTTGCGGACACGAGATGTGTTAGTGGGTAAGGCGGTCCTGATAATTATTGTTGTTCATTTTTGTTCGAACCTTTTGAAATTCTAAAAATATTCCAAACCTCAAAAAAAAAGTATCCACAAATACTGATAGGACTGATTGTATATAGAATTAGTGGTGTAATAATCGATAGTGAGAGGAATGGGTACAAAGGATATCATATCCTTTCTTATAGGCCTTAAACAGCATCTACATTTGTACCTAGTACACAAAATAAGTACAAAAATCACTGTGTTAAATCAAGTGCCCCCTTTGAAGATTTGTAGACAAATTGCAACTTCAAATGGCGTGAAGGCACGAAAATAAACCTTTTAAAGAGATGTAAAGAACGATAACTCTGTAAGGATTATGCACGAAGAAGAAAAAAATACTCGAGTTATTTCCCTTCAATCTAAAGTCCGTGTACTGATGACTATCCTAGTTTCCCATTTTCCGGTTAAACTCGGATGCACTCACATATCATTAGACATACCAAGATTTGGACCGTTCATTATACTGGTGTTAACCGCAAGGGTTTGACAGCATAACTAGGCCTAACCAACCAGATTTCCAGAGAGGAATTCATCAGCTTTGTAGGCATAATGGTAGAAGTCAGCACACCAACATAAATAGCAAAAAATTCTGTTAACAACACAAATGTACAGGGAATAGTCGGTACAATAATAAAGCGGGCGTGTGGTTAACTAGAAGGTACATATTATAATTAACTTGAATTCTTTGTAACAGTTTTTCAAGAGAAGCATATTTTTGTTGTAGATGTCTCCGAGTAGAAAGATCTGATCATACTTAAACATTCTGAATAAACAAGATGTCCAGAGTATGTAATATTTCGCTAGTGACCTGTTGGGATGCATGGCTGCAACGTTTATGTAGATTAAAAAGCTTTCCCCGCTGTTCCGATTTTTAACAACAATCTCCTGAACAAGTGGGAGACACATGGGGTATGTTATTCTGTTATTATGACACTGGGGCGAAGTATTGACACAGGCTTACAAATTGAAAATACGACACTGAGATAATAATCCAAGATTACCAAAAAATGTTTTATTGTTACCAAGGAAAGTATTCATGTGTACAGACAAAGTCACGACAGGGACAAGACATCATAACCTCTCACTACTTAGGGAACGTATCCATGTGTACAGACAAAGTCAGGACAGGGACAAGATATCATAGTCTCTCACTATGTAGGGAACGTATTCATGTGTACAGACAAAGTCAGGACAGGGACAGGATATCATAGTCTCTCACTATGTAGGGAACGTATCCATGTGTACAGACAAAGTCAGGACAGGGACAGGATATCATAGTCTCTCACTACTTAGGGAACGTATTCATGTGTACAGACAAAGTCAGGACAGGGACAAGATATCATAGTCTCTCACTACTTAGGGAACGTATCCATGTGTACAGACAAAGTCAGGACAGGAACAAGATATCATAACCACTCACTACTTAGGGAACGTATTCATGTGTACAGACAAAGTCAGGACAGGGACAAGATATCATAGTCTCTCACTATGTAGGGAACGTATTCATGTGTACAGACAAAGTCAGGACAGGGACAGGATATCATAGTCTCTCACTATGTAGAGAACGTATTCATGTGTACAGACAAAGTCAGGACAGGGACAAGATATCATAGTCTCTCACTATGTAGGGAACGTATTCATGTGTACAGACAAAGTCAGGACAGGGACAGGATATCATAGTCTCTCACTACTTAGGGAACGTATTCATGTGTACAGACAAAGTCAGGACAGGGACAGGATATCATAACCACTCACTACTTAGGAAACTTATTCATGTGTACAGACAAAGTCAGGACAGGAACAAGATATCATAACCTCTCACTATATAGGGAACGTATCCATGTGCACAGACAAAGTCACGATAGGGACAAGATATCATAGTCTCTCACTACTTAGGGAACGTATCCATGTGTACAGACAAAGTCAGTATCATAGTCTCTCATGTGTACAGACAAAGTCAGGACAGGGACAAGATATCATAGTCTCTCACTATATAGGGAACGTATGTGCATGTGTACAGACAAAGTCAGGACAGGGACAAGATATCATATGTCTCTCACTATCTCACTATGTAGGGAACGTATCCATGTGTACAGACAAAGTCAGGACAGGGACAGGATATCATAGTCTCTCTCTATGTAGGGAACGTATCCATGTGTACAGACAAAGTCAGGACAGGAACAAGATATCATAACCTCTCACTACTTAGGGAACGTATCCATGTGTACAGACAAAGTCAGGACAGGGACAAGATATCATAGTCTCTCACTATGTAGGGAACGTATTCATGTGTACAGACAAAGTCACGACAGGGACAATATATATTAACCTCTCACTACTTAGGGAACGTATCCATGTGTACAGACAAAGTCAGGACAGGGACAGGATATCATAACCACTCAATAATCAGGAAACTTATTCATGTGTACAGACAAAGTCAGGACAGGGACAAGATATCATAACCTTTCACTATATAGGGAACGTATCCATGTGTACAGACAAAGTAGGGACAAGATATCATGTGTACAGACAAAGTCAGGACAGGGAACGTATTCATGTGTACAGACAAAGTCAGGACAGGGACAAGATATCATAGTCTCTCACTATGTAGGGAACGTATCCATGTGTACAGACAAAGTCAGGACAGGGACAAGATATCATAGTCTCTCACTATGTAGGGAACGTATCCATGTGTACAGACAAAGTCAGGACAGGGACAGGATATCATAGTCTCTCACTACTTAGGGAACGTATTCATGTGTACAGACAAAGTCAGGACAGGGACAGGATATCAAGATATCATAACCTCTCACTATGTAGGGAACGTATCCATGTGTACAGACAAAGTCAGGACAGGAACAAGATATCATAACCTCTCACTATGTAGGGAACGTATCCATGTGTACAGACAAAGTCAGGACAGGTACAAGATATCATAACCTCTCACTATGTAGGGAACGTATCCATGTGTACAGACAAAGTCAGGACAGGTACAAGATATCATAACCTCTCACTATGTAGGGAACGTATTCATGTGTACAGACAAAGTCAGGACAGGGACAAGATATCATAGTCTCTCACTATGTAGGGAACGTATCCATGTGTACAGACAAAGTCAGGACAGGGACAGGATATCATAGTCTCTCTCTATGTAGGGAACGTATCCATGTGTACAGACAAAGTCAGGACAGGAACAAGATATCATAACCTCTCACTGCTTAGGGAACGTATTCATGTGTACAGACTTAGAAATTGAACTTCGAAAGAATAAGATTTTACAGAAAGAATTGTAAAGCCAGTTTAACTCAGCCTTGAAAAGAATATCATTAACTACACACTATTTCTGCGGTGTGTAGACGGAGGTATGTTGATTCCCGATTGGTGATGAATCACTGAATTGTTGAATTCTTATTTCTTTGTTGATCTTTTTTTAGTTGATTCCTTTTTAATTTCTGTTCTCAATACGTACCCATATTTTTCTATTCTGAGTAGGTTATATTTAGCTATAAATCTCCCTATCATTACCTTATCTGGTATTGCTGACATAGTGTCCAGTGTGATTGCGGAGTAGCGACAGATCTACTATGTATTTAAAGTTAACAGTTTGTGAATGATGGTGGGGTGGGCGTCTCTGGACAGCTGCTGACCGAACCTGGGCGGAATGTAGATAACACACCTGCCGGTAATAGGTTTACCTGGGCACTAATTACCTCAGGTGAATTCAGTTGTTAATCAGCTTATATCTGTCGTACTTACTTATTTCGTGCAGCATCACTCTCACACTATCTGTATCCTCTCAGGCCGTGTTTCTCCTTCAAACCTCGTATTTGTATATAGGACATAGTGAACCTGTAGTAATTAGATATTCTATGTGTTTTATTATTCACACATTACATGTTA